CATCTTAATAGTCCTCCATGTTATCAGGTCTTTTATTTCAGCCACTGTTTATTTTCGGTGCCTTCCAGCCTGGGGACTCGTTTAGCATTATACAGAGTAGTAGGCTACATAACGCATTGGTCTTTTTGTCCCTAAGGTTTGGAAAGTATACCCAGTGGCCAAAGAAGAGACCTGCTCATGTTACTGCATCTATTTGCAGACAAGCATAACAATTATTTGGTAATCAAGAATAAATGTCTTGATTTTTGTGTTTCTGTAATTGTGTTTATTTTGAAAGGGACAGAAAAACAAAAGGAAGAAGCTAGAAAACATGATTTGGTTAGTCATTTGCCGTTGTGCTTATTCCAATTCATAGAGATCTGTGTGTGCTGAGGAGAACTGTGCACTATAGAGTTTCAGGCTGGTATTTTGGAAATAAATCTCCAGATCTATTTTCCCTGGTACCTCTATTGAACCTCTAACCTTTCACTTAGCAGCTGAGCACTTCAACTACCTCTACCACCCAGAGACTCTGTAGAGAAAGAAATTCAATCTTTGGGTCTTGATCACTTGAAAGGATGTCTCCCACAGTATTAGCCCCAGATGTTCTTTACTTTGTCTTCCAGCCCAAACCAAACTCACTGCCATCGAGTTGATGCCGACTCATAGCGACCTAATAGGAAAGGGTCGAACTACCCCTGTAAGTTTCCAAGACTAACTCTTTACAGGAGTAAAAAGCCCCGTCTTGCTCCCTAGAAGCAGTTAGTGGTTTCGAACATGTAATTGCTCCAACATGTAATCGTTGTGTTACCTTCCTATCTCCTCAAGCAAACTCCATGTCTTTGAGGCAGTTCTGTCACACAATGACTCACAATGAACTGCCTCTGTGGGTTCTTTAGACTGTAACTCTTTACAGGAACAATAAGCTGCATCTTTCTCTTGCGGAGCTGTTGATGGTTTGAATTACAGATCTGTGATTTTCCAACTATTTGATTTTTGTTTTAAATTTGTATACCGATCAAAAATATTATTATTAGCCTGTCCACTAAAGTTTTTGTTTTGGCACACATGTTTTTGTTCATGTTGTCTCTCATGTTTCCTTTTTTATCACCATCTGTGTTAAAAAAACATCCACAGCATTTCCCATATCTCCGATACCACTTAGAATGTTGTATAAAGGCTTCTCGTTTTTGGTAAATAGCCTGTTTGGTTTTGGTGTGCTTGCTCTGTTTGCGGCCTTTCTCTTTAACACAGTTGCTTTCTTTCAGAAGCTTGAGTCTAACATAAGATACTATTTATTATTACTGCTAGTGGTTGTGCTGCTTTGGCAGTTAATATACCTATATACTCGAATATAAGCTAACCCGAATATCAGCCGAGGCACCTAATTTTACCACGAAAACGGAATTAAAAATGTGCCAAAAATTTTGGCTTATACATGAGTATATACAGTAAGTTAGGTAGTTTTATATCCTTGAAAAGTCCCCCCACCCCCCCAAAAAAGAAAAGTTTCTCCCTTGAATGGGCAGGCTAACTGTCATAATAAGCAAAGTTTCTTACTAAACAGCCTTCTTTGTGCTTTTTCTTGATTGATGAGAAGTAGCAGGTAAGCAGGTGGGTGAATTGCTCCTATTTGCAAAATTAAGGAGACCTTTAAAAACTTGTGGCAAAGCAGGCTAGTATTATTTCATTACCGGGTGGGGTTTATTTTTTCTTTTTGTGGTTTAGAAGTGGTGCTGACACTTCATCTCATTCTTTGGACATGTTATCAAGAGGGGACAATCTCTCAAGAAGATATCATGCTTGGTAGAAAGTCAGAGAAAAAGAGAAGATTACCAGCAAGATCAACTGACAAAGTGACTACAACAATGGCCTCATACACAGTCATGCAGGACTGAGTATTTTGTGGTACATAGGATGTTATGACCTGGAAGCAACTCAGTGACACGAAACAAAATTTCTCACAGAGACCCTCAGCCTTATTTGCGCTCTCAGCAAGCTGTCCATTTCCCTTGGTGGGCTAGACATACTTGGTACAGAGTCCACCCAATCTTACTGAGGAATTCCCAGAGTGACTTTGTACAATCTAGTTTTGTAGCTATGAAATGAGGCCAACTTTGCTGCTCAACCCTCATCTCCAGTGCACCTATCTGAGTTTATCCTACAGGTTTTGTGGAACATAAAAGAAGACACAGTTAGTCACTGAAGGCCCTATTGCATTCATTGTTTTCATTGGCAAAACCATATTCACTGTGTTTATAGGGCTTCTCTGCTGTAACAATTCTGTTATCTCCTCAGGAGACATATCTGGCAACAGGTTTTCCCACAAGGACTATGTTTCCATTTGTCAAGAGTCAACTGACATTTATTGATGTCTGAGCTGCCATAGAAGACACTTGAGTAGTCAGGGTATAAACACTGCTTTTCTCCTGCATGAGATTGCTTGTATGTGATGAGTGGTGATTTGTTGTTTATTGAATCCACTTGTTTCTCTCTTTTGTATTTTCTTGTATGTGCATTATAGCTAGAAGCATAGTCAGAAGTTTGTCTACATACATTGCAATTAAACAGTGTCTTTCCTGTATGAGACCTTTGATGCACGACAAGCTATATGTTGAAGGCTTTCCAGCATTCACTGCACTGAAAGGGTTTCTCTCCTGTGTGAATTTTCTGATGGCTAATGAGAGCTGCCTGCTGGTTAAAAGATTTTCCACATTCATTTCATGTAAAGGGATTCTTTTCAGTGTTAAATCTCTGATGTACTATGAGGCATGACTTCTGGCTGAAGGCTCTACCACATTTAATTGCATACATCGGGGTTTTCTCCAGTATGTGTTTGCTGTCGAATAGAGATGTCCCTTATGGTTGCAGCCTTTCCTACAGAGATCACACATACAAGGTTTCTCTCCAGTATGAGTTTGCTGCCGAATAATGAGACCTTCTTTACGTCGGAAGCTTTTCCCAAATTCACCACACCTGTAAGGTCTCTCTCCAGCATGAATTTACTGATGAAGACGGAGACGTGTGTTCTGGATGAAGCCTTTCCCACATCCACTGCGCATAGAGGGTTTCTCTGCCTTATGGATTTTCTGATGTTTACTGAGGTGTGATTTATGGAGATAGGCTTTGACACATTTGGAGCATTTGAATGTTTTTTTTTTTTCCTTCGTGAATGGTGCAATGATGCTCAATGAGCTTGAATTTTAAAAAAAAGATTTCACCACAAAGACTGCATCATAGAGTGTTTCTCTCCAGCCTGAATCTTTTGACGATCAGTGGGGAAAGATGTACTGATGATGGCTTTCCGAGCTTCATTACCTACATGCAGCTTGTCTATTTTGTGAGTTATCTGGTGACTGATGTGAGAGCAATGAGTGTAGTTGGACTTTTGACTCTGAGGGAATATCATTTGTGTACAACGTTGCTCATGGTTAGTATGGAGCAAGTGTTCTCATCTTCATAAAGTTCAGCAGAGTTCTCATAACTTCTGTGCTGGCCGACTGCTGGTAAAGTTAAACTTGATTTCACAGCTTTTTCTTATAAGTCAAAGAGATCACAATTTTCCCTGAAAGGAAAATGAGTTTTGCGCCACTGAACAATGTTTTCCAATACATAGCATCGTTCCCATTTGTCCGTCCTTCTTTCATTGTGTGAGTGCCCCAGCAGATGATTGTCACTCTTCTGCTTTTCTCGTCTCACGAGCTCACCTGAGAAAAATGCCCTGGTGGTTTTCGTGACATTAACCATGGTGGTTCTCCTCGGGTGAACCTCGGTCCTAGAGAGTGTATCTAGTTTGTTAAGTCGATACCCAGTGGATACCATGTTGCAATAGTTGTCCCAAATCACATCCCGGAACAGGTCCTTCTCAACAGGGTCCAGGAGCCACCACTCCTCCTGGGTGAACTCTCAAACCATGTCATCACATGCCTTGATCATTTTCTTTGATTCTTAGGACACTGCCAGCAACTGGGATGCTCTGCCTTCATGTGTTATGGGTCAAGTTGAATTTCCATTCAGAAATTTCATTCTCTCACGAAGAACATCCCAGAAATAATCATGTGCGAAACAGTCACCTCCTTCTTCCTCCAAGTGATTCTTTTGTGCTGGAGACTCAAAACCTATAGACCTAAACTCCCATAATTCTGAGTACTGGACATGAGTTCTGTGTGGCCACTGCAGTAAGTTATTAAACCCAGCAGAGAAGTGAAGAGTGGGTGTTTTTTTTTTCTGATTCACCTGAAGTTTCTAAAACTTACACTTACTTCTGCTGGGTGGAGTTTCTTAATCTTTAATTTTTTTGTCTTCTGTATGAAAGTTCTGGGATTACCTTGGACTCGGCCCTGACCCACACTAACCTTGTAGTATAGCTCACTTTTACTTAAAGGGCAGTGTATTCCTGACTTTAGCCTCAAAGCAGAAGCTGTCACTAATTTGTTCAATTTTGAGTACACATTTTGCATAGTTCTTAGTAGTGTTTTGCAACATCTTTTGTATAGATTTTGGCTATTAATATGTATGATCCTTTCTTCTGTGATGTAAAAGTGATTTCTAAAAGCTAACAAATTTTTTATAATGAAAAGGATCCCTCTGGTGAGTTACACATTGGGCTATTAACTGCAGGGTCAGCAATTTGAAACCACCACCTGCCCCGTAGGAAAGATAAGGTTTTCTGCTCCTGTAAAGATTCATCCTCTAGTAGGAAACCTCCTGGCTCAGTTCTGCTCTGCCCTATAGGGTTGCTGTAAACCAGACTTGACTCAGTGGCAGTGTGTGGGTGTTTGTTTTTAATGAGAGTGTGGTTTTATCACTTGACTTATTTTTTTGGAGTTTTGGCCTGAGAATTTTTGCTTATCCTAAAATTTATTTTACTCTGACATTGCTTCTATTTTTATATTGTGTATTTGCATGTCTTTGGTTGAAATCACAGCTCTTGGAGACCTAAGGAGAGACTAACGGGACACTAAACTGTGTGATGTAAGGATTTAATAATAATGCTATTTTCTTTTCTTTTCTCTTTTCAGTTTGAGCAGAAAACTGGTGCGGTTTTTGATGAAATTGTAGAGAACTGTAAGTACTATTTTGAGAAAAGAAATAATCTCTTTAAATAGATAATGTAAGTTACATAATATTATGTTTAGTTAGAGCCTATTTACGTGTAATTCAATTGATTTGGTCCAGATATCGCAATACCCTGTCTGTTAGCATTTTCAGAAGATAACTAAATCATAGGACTCTTCTTTTTAAATAGAAACTTTATTCGCACAGTTATTAAAATGTTAAAAATAGACACTTATTTTATTTGTGAGTCAAGATTAGTGATTATACTTAATTTTCTTTTTTTTAAATTTCCTATTTTTAATGTTTCTACTCCATTTGCAGGGTCTCACAGCTTTTCCTTTAAATATTTCCCACTTTGCACAATTTCGTAAACATGTTTGTTTCTTATGATTATAAAAGTAATACATTCAGTTTTACAATACAATTGAATAAAGTAGGAAATGTAAGCCATTGTCATTACCATTCTCCAAAGATAACCCATTTTTAAAGTTTAATATATATCTTTCCAGACTTTTTTCTATGAATGTATATATGATGGGTCTTCAGAAAGTTTATGGAAGAATTACATTAGCTTATAACTATTTTCAACAAACTTTTTGAAATCCCCTCGTATCTATATACAATGGTAGATGGGTATTTATGTTTGTGGTTTTTTTTTTACTTAACTGCATAAATTTCTATGTCAGTGGATATAGACCTGTTGCACTCATAGTAATAGCTGCTCATTATATATTTTATAGTAACCAACTTTTTTATACATGCTTAAATTATTTTCCATCTTTATTATTATATACAACATTGAGTATGTATTTCTATGCACATCTTTGTATACGTGTTGAAGTAGTTCTTTATGATAAATTTTAAGAGTAGATTTGATGAATTATCAAAGGATGTTTTATGAGTGTTTATGAAGCATAATGTCATTGTAGAATTCCTGAGTTAAGAAGAGTATGCATTGTTTTCCTTTTACTTTTGTAAGTTTACTTCTACAAATAGGCTCTATTGAGCACTTTCTTTCTCCTTGAAATTAGGTAACATTTTTGATGATAATAGTTTATTTAACTTTTAAAATTAGTTTTAGTACAGTCTGTCCTTTTGTGACTTGATTTTGAGAGGTAACTAGTTATCCTTACGTTCAGTAGAGTTTGTTATTGAATGTCCTCTTAGTTGCAAGCAACAAAAATATATACTAGCTTACCCAAAAGAAAATTTTTTAACTATGTTGGAATATTTTGCAGAATTTGGGGGGGCGGGGGGGTGGGGAAGGGGATAAAAGTTTCCTCCATGCAATTCAGCAGAACTTAGTAAAAGGAAATTATTTGCCATCTCTCAGATGTACTAACAGAAAGTAATTTTGTTCCAATAACTTATTTTCTGTATATTCATCTTAAATTACAAGTTCTTAAGAGAAGGAAAATAAGATTGTTACAGCTTGGATCTGATTTTTATTTTTGGTCACCTTTTATGGTCAGGGAAACATGCTTATAGATAGTAAAAGCATAGCTATAGAAGATACTTCTCTGCCTCCACTTTTTATCAGATAATTCCTGAATATCTGCTTCTGGGCAAACCTTTGGTCAAATCTGTATACTGATAATAGAAATTGAAATTAATCAAACAACTTTCTAATAAAAGGTTTCAATCTGCTGCTGTCTGTGAAAGGTGTTAAAATCACAACATTCTTAGAGTGACAGCAGGGATCTTAATGTGGTAACCAAGTTGCCATGCTTGGGATCTTACACTCAGCACTTGGATTTTATAGTTCTGGTGTGCTGCGCTTTTCTGCTTGGGTTCCTCACTTATAGTTAGGCTGGAGATTTATAAGCAGGGCTTTGTACCAAATACTGGAGTCAGTGGTACAATCAGGGATATTCCTTATCTTCTCTTTTCTGGTAGCATAGTGCTAAGGGGGTTTTGGAACCTGTCGAGGTGAAGAAGTGACCAACTCAAGAGGGAGAGTAGCCTTTCTAAGAAGATTATTTAGCGTACAGAGTCCTATGTAGGAGAGGATAACAGGCTTTTAAGTAGACATAAAATGACAAAAGTTAATTTAGACAGTGTTCAAGTCTGATTACAAAAATAGTCATTGGAGACCTACCCCTAAAAAGATTCACAGTAACTCAGACACCTGCCTTAAAATGTCTTGTACAACTCAACTTCCATAAAATGTCTAGTATAACAAAAATGGAAGAAGTAAGGCCAGAGTATTCCTTAGAGGCAAGGATGGCAAGACTTTGTGTTATATGCTTTGGACTTATTGTCTGGAGAGACCAGTCCCTGGAGAAGGACATCATGTTTGGTAAAGAGGAAGGGCAGTGGGAAAGAGGAAGGCCCTCGACGAGATGGATTGGCACAGTGGCTGCATCAGTGGGCTCAGGCACAGGAACCATTGTGAGGGTGGCGCAGGACCGTGCAGTGTTTCGTTCTGTTGTGCATAGGTTCGTTATGGGTCATAGCTGACTCGATGGCACCTCACAAGAACAACAGTGAAAATGGAGAATGACCGAATCGGATCATAAAGTGGAGGATGCTACATCATTACTTAGCTAAGTAAGTTATGATGTTACGTAACTGGCCAAAGCACAGAAAATCCTGGCTCAGCCCAGTTGACACATAGCCTTAACCTTCACAGAGACTGTTACTCTCTTCTCCCACGTTGGCATTAGTTACTGCCAGTTGCACATTATTAATTGGTAAAATAGTTGAATAGTGGATATTTGTTATTTTAGAAATGTTAAATGACAAATAATGAGATAATCTATATGTGAGGAGATATACTAAATTTACCATGTACCAGTCATTGCCTAGGACCATCAGGACATAGATCTTCAAATGTTTATTTTGTACATCATATTCAGCCATCATGGCTTATCTAGCCCTTAGGAGACTTTCAGTAAAATATCTAATTATTGGGAGACATAAACTAGTGGAGACTAATCCCATGAATTCCAATTTTTTCCACAAGCTTTTTGAGGACCATTAATATTTGGGAAATTTGGTGTAAACATAGAAGAAGCCAAGTTGACTTTTCAAAGATACAGCAGCTTTATTGAAAGAGGTTTTATTTTTGAAAAAGGCCTTCAACAATTTATTTAAGTCATAGAGAAGGTAGAGTTTCGGTATCAGGAGATTTTGTGCTCTGCATTTTTCAAGAGACATGGTGATAGAGAAAGTCACTGATGTTATTTTAGTTCATGTTCACTTAACCATTGCTAGTTTGGGGGGAAATTTGTAAGGAGTTTGAATAGAATAGGGAAATATTTCATTCAATGTATTCAGATAGCTGCTTCCTTAAATCCTGGGTTTGTATTCATTAAATGGCTCTAAAATAACCAACTGGTAATTCACCAATTCTTACTTTTCTTACTTATAGAATCAAACTATTGAACATAACAGACTTCAAGGGGAAAAATTAGAGCAGTGCTGATTTGTTCATGAAGGTAATATTTGGGTTATAGAATTATTCATATTACTTTGCTTACTTGCTGTTAAAATTTTAATTACTAAAAACTTTATGTACTAAGTTTTAAAATTTTTAGTAATAACTGTACTAGTTAGGAAATTAGGCTCAACTATGTATAATAGATAGGATCCCTGGTGGCATTGTCAAAGTAAGTAAAAGACTTCTAGCTGCAAGATCGGTGCTTTGTACCCACCAGCTTCTCTTCAGAAGAACGCGGAGTCTGTCTACTCCCATAAAGATTTACAAGCCTCGTGAACCCTTTGTAGAGTTGCTGGGAGTTGGAATCAAGTCAGTGGCAGTGAGGGTTTTTTGTTTGTTTGTTTTCTATGTCTAATAGAGATGGACCCCTGGTGGCACAGTGGTTGAGCACTTGACTTCTAACCTGCTAACTGAAAGATCAGTGGATCAAACCTACCAGATGCTTCACAAGAGAAATATATGACAGTCTGCTCCTATAAAGATTACTGCCTTGGGAATACTGTGGGACAGTTCTACACAATCCTCTAGGGTTAGTAATAATTGGTATAAGCTCAATGGTAATGGTTTTGTTGTTATTTATAATACAAACAAGGTAGGAGTGTCTATCTCTATGAAAGAAGCCCAGACCGTTAGCTAGGTGACCACGATCAGCAGGAATTCTGGGTTGCATCACTCGTCTCCTCAAGGTCAACTGGTGTTCTGATGTAGCGGCTTCATGATCAGCCTTCCGCTCTAATTTCTAGTCTGAATGGATTTTGTGTCGAGTGGAGAAGAAGGAGCAACTGCATATTTCCAAACAGAATCAGTTTCCTAAAGAATCTTCCGGGAAGTTTTATCTGATATGGTTTGCATCTCACTGGCTGTGGTAGAGGACGCTCTGGGGGAGTAACAGCAAACTGTCAGGCTGTTGATGAGAAGGCCATAATTGGAACCCACCAACTTCTCCAAAGGAGAGTGACGTGACGGTCTGCTTTCACCAAGAACACGACCTTGGAAACCCTAGGGGACAGTTATACCCCAGCCCTATGGGCTCCTGTAAGGTGGAATCAACCCCCAGTGGCAACACATTTCTTTTATTACTGTTTCCAGGTGAGGCTGTTGTTGCTAGAAATGAAAGGGAGAACTCAAAATAAAGAAGAATTGTTAGGTATGCAGTTGAGGATTCCATTTTTTTAAATCCATAATCAACAACTGTGGAAACAGCAGCCAAGAGATAAAATGACAAGTTATTGCATTGGTAGATCTACTAGAGAAGACCTTTTAAAAGTGTTAAAAAGCAAGGATGTTGCTTTACCCCACCCCCACCCCCCGCACTACAATTCTTTCTTCCTTTTGCTTTTTAACACTTCATTTATTTTAACAGTTTTATTGGTGTATAACTCACACCATACAATTCAATAGTTCAGTCACATCAAGAAGAATTAATCATCACCATACACGATTTTAGAACATTTTCTTAGTTCTTGTATTATTGTTATTAGCTCCCCATTTTCTCCCAACCTTCCCTGCCACAGCCCCAAGGAACCATTAATCCAGTTACTATCTCAGTAGATGTATCTATCCTGGA